TAGTAAGTCTTGCTATACAAATCTTTGAATATCCTTATACTATTTGTACAATTAATTGTTATGAGCCAAGGTAGCTTTGATTGTTATAAACGTGAAATCCAAAAGGTATATTTGGCACTTCTTTTGTGCATTTAAAAAGCAATGCATTGCATGAGCTCTTGGTCATGCAAAGTCCAATTTCACAACACATCCTTAGACAATCAGTCTCAGTGATCCAGTATTAAAGTTTATAACTGGAGTTATTGATTGAAATCAGGCAGTTGCACAATGAACATGCTCAAGATTCTATTAGCTGAGTCTAGAAGTGATAATTGTATTACAAAAAGGAATTGAATTAACAACCTTATTGACATATCTTTATTTCTTACCAGTAAGTATGAAACAATGGTATATTTCAATTAAATTCCTATCCATAACAGTGCCTTTATATCTATGTAAAGAGTGCCCTAAAAGTGTAGTCCTCTATGCAAAGGGTGCCTTTAAAGTGAAGCCAATCGTGCTAAGAATGCCCTCTGAGAAAAAAATCACCCTGCCCTTTTCAAAAGCTGCAGGAAACACTAACAATGAGTGTTGTAAAATTGCAAACTATCAGCAAATAGGAAGTGGCTGCGCGGCTGATGTTATAAATAACAGGCTATGACTCTACATTATCAAGCTGCAGACCAAATTTATATAAAAGCATTCCTTTCCTAGGAAACCAAAAACTTTGATGACAATCGTCTACCCAAGGATTTATGGAAGGACAGACTGAAGGACAGAGGGACTGATAGAAGGATGGTTGTACAGACCAATGGACATACAGAATGCTGAACAGAGTTAAGCAGTTACTAGATCTCCTTTCTCCATTGGCGACACATAAAAAAGGTGTATGTTGTCTGTTGATTATTATCCTTGTCATTAGGCTGCTGTCTCGTTGATATTATCCCCACATATCATTTATTCATATGTTATATATCATGCCACTTGTTATATATATATATATATACATGTGGCAGATGAGCTCAACTCTATTCTCAATTGACTTGGATTTTAGAGATAACTGTATTGTATTTGAAGCTTTGTGGACGTCCATCAGTAGTTTTACTGTCACAAATTTAGTTTACCTGGCGACGCTTAGCGCAGACAGGTAAATGGATATTTGCGAGAGTAAAACTACCGATGGACGTCCGCAAAGCTTCAAATACAATACAGTTATCTCCATTCTAATGCAAATTAAACAAATCATTCAATTTTAGTCATTCTTTTAGTGTAAATTTTCATTTAACGAAAAATCCGCAAAATGATGTTATCTTCTTTGGCGCCTAAACTAGGTGACGTCATAGGTATGCTTCCAGCATCAAATGTAAAACATCTGGCGCTTTCTGGCTACTTGTCCGCTTCAGAATGTAATAAAATTAGATAAAAAGAAGATTTCTAGGTGCAAAATGTGAGTTGTTTGCTTATTACTGGAGAAATTATATGTCAATACATTCTGGAATTCAAAATGTCTGCTTCGTTAGTTACAGACACGGAGAATAGAATTTTACGCTTATTGTCATCCAATCAGAACCTTTGATACAAAATAATTGCATTAGAATGTCTGTTTCCTTCCAAAGGTCAGTGGTTCTCTCCAGGCACTCTGGCTTCCTACACAAATAAAAACTGACAGTGCTGAAAGTGGCGTTTAACACCAATCAATCAATGAATGTTATATATATAGCCATCACTGTAATTCACCTACTAAAAACTGTTGTTGGTCATATATGTTAAAAGAGAAAATTCAATGTAAATCAATAAACTAAAACAAATATAGCAGACAGCTTCAAATGACAAGATTACACACACTGAAATGTCTTGACTGCTTTACATATTGTGAGGTCCAGGTCAGGTGAACCCTGTATGACAGACATGTAGACCTTGCAAGGATCCCTTATACCTTCTGAAATATAAAGCTTTATACAAATAGTTTATGCTGCCAAACAAACATGTCATTTGGTCTCTTGTGAAGAGATGTCTCATTGGCAATCATACCACTTCTTTTTTTATATGTACACCTTACAATCATTCCATACACCATATATAAGTGACATATTGTCTATGGTATCTGAGACAGACGTATAGTTTTCAAGATAATAGCCAAAATAAATGTCATTAAAGACCCATAACTCCACTAAGGAGTAGAGTCGACTGATGATTTCAGTCATGTGGACTTATTTGTAGTTCTAGTCATGCTGATCACTGTTGCTATTGAATGTTTCTCCCTGTCTCACGAAAATCGGCAAATATGAGAAAAATGGTAAAATTCATCATTCAAGGTAAATAACTCCTAGAATAAGTCTTCTGGCAGTTCCGATGTAAATAGATAGTAGGTGGATCTAAACATTCTGAATATTTGTGCCCATCAGATTTTCCCTACCTATAGCAGTTTTCAAAATAATTGACAAAACTTGCATTCTACCCATATATTCTATTTCTAGCCCTGTCAGCCATGTTGGTTCGCAGGGGGGTCACAGACACATTTTCTTAAACAGACTATAAAAGTCTTTTCTTTTCTATTATTATCTGTTTCTATAAATTAGTTTCTTAGATACATAAAATAAATTATGAATGGAAAAATAGTATCTAAATATCTAAATCAAAAGAAGCTTGAGGCTCCACCTAGGTCTATGAGCATCTTCAACAATGCACTCTCTCCAACATTGTGGACTAGAATATATAGAAATCATGACAAAATAGCCTTCACTCCTACATTACCCTATAGAGAGTAAACCAATAATTTCATCCAAATTTTACTTATTTTTAAATCTTGTCTTGCCGATTATTTTTGCTATTTAATGTGTCTTACTATCTTTTATAGTTTTCAAGATAGATGTAAAAAATGCTTTGCTGAGCGCAGCCTGATACGACCGCAGAGGTCGAACCCTGAACAGTTGGGGGCATTTTTGGACACAATATTCAAACTTGATACTGTCTGAATTTGGATTTTGATCCAATTTTTGACATAAAATAGGTTTCTGACAAAAAATAAATGTGGTCAAAGATCTTAAAAAATCTATTGAGCAATACTGTAAAATGAAGATTTCTTCTTGAAACTTTTCAAAAATTTGAAATTTGAAAAATTTTGAAAAAAAAAAATATGAACCCCTTAAAAGAATTGGAAAAAAAAATCCCTCCCCTCCTTGGAGCAATTACCCCCAAACTCAATCGCAGCCTTCCCTTTGTAGTATGGAACCTTGTAGTAAAATTTTAGACAGATCCATACACTTAAACACAAGTTATTGTTTGGAAACTAGAAAAATGTTTGTTTTTGGCCCCTTTTCTGCCCCAATTCCTGCATGTTTGGGGCAATTAACCCCAAACTCAATCCCAGCCTTCCCTTTGTGATATGGAACCTTGTGGTACAATGTCAGAGAGATCCATACATTTATACACAAGTTATTGTCCGGAAACTACAAAAATGCTTGTTTTTGGCCCCTTTTTGACCCCTAATTCCTAAAGTGATGGTACTATAACCCCCAAAATCAATCCCAACCTTTCTTTTGTGGTATTGGACCTTCTTGTAAAATTTCATAGAGATCCATTCACTTAAACTAAAGTTATTGTCTGGAAACCAAATGTGCCTTCGACATCATAGCATTATGATGCAAAAAAAATTATGCGGTTGTATAAAAATTACACATTCCACACGCATTAACAGACTTTTGAACTACTTGATTAATGTATATAATTCCATGTATATGGGTTGTTTTAATTTATTGATTAAAGTTGCTTAACTCCAGGACTAATTTACTAATATCAATATATTATGGCCCAGCTTAACTTTGTTAAATTTATATATCTTTTTGATGAGAAACACAGAATTTCATAAATATGCATATGATAAACAGAATAGTTTTTTAATTGAATTGTGATTGATATATTATACTTTCTTTTCCTTTTTGACATAAAAAAAAATTCTTTTTAGTGCTAGATATTTAGTTGGTAGTTTCTCACAAGAACCTAAATAACTTTGAAATTGAAATGTTACTTTAATTGTATACTCAGATATGAATTGAACAATATAAAAAGAAAATAAGTTACATATGACCCCTTATACTATAGTAAAAACCAAACATTGTAGCGCCGCGCACGAAGGAGAACTTCTCTTTCAAATCTCACCACTTCTCCCTATCAGTTTCAAAAAGAGAAGTCACTTTTCCCTTTGATTCTGAAGTAGTGTGAGCCCTGTATCTATTATAGTTTTTTTCAGATATAAGGCAAAAATGCAAAAATGACAAAAATCGTCATTAAGGGGCATTAACTCCAATAAGGAGTCGTCTGACAATTTCGACCATGTAAACTTATTTGCAGATCATTTTTGGTATATAAAGTTTCTCTCTATCTATTAAAGTTTTTCAGATATTAGGCAAACATGAAAATATCTGTAAAATTCATCATTCATTATCAATAACTCCTATAAGCATGATAAGAAATTGTCTGCCAGTTTTGAAGTAATAGATAATATGTAGATCTCATTATTGTGAACATTTTTGTCCCTGACAGTTTTTTTCCATTCATATTAGTTTTCAAGATAATAGACCAAACTTGCCTTTTACCCCTATGTTCTATTTTCAGACATGTCAGCCATGTTGGTTGGCAGGAGGGGGTCATTAGACATATTTTATTTAATAAACTAGATACCCAAATGATGATTGTGGCCAAGTTTGGTCAAATTTGGCCCAGTAGTTTAAGAGATTTTTGTAAAAGTTAATGACGCCAATAGACTTTTAGGCCAGGTGAACTAAAAAGAATATATATATATATATGACCTAATAAATCACTGGATACAAATCATAAATAAGTAATCTTCTGCCATCCCCTCCTAAAACAAACAATATTGTGAATAAAAGGGAAAAAAAGATTTCTTAAGATTTCATAGTATCATTTTTTGATGCATTGTATTAATTTACCTCATTTTGGAGAAGAAGCAAAATATGATTTCTAAATTCTTTTGTTTTACCCGTCCAGTCTGATATACGTACAATATATGTATCACTTAATAATACTTTATCTGTACATCTTTTTCTAGTCAACTGTTGTAAATGTTTCTTATAAACATACCAATGTTTGTGTGTTATCTGTGTTATCTGTGTTATCTCCCTGTTTCAATAAAATAAACTTACAATAAAGGTATAATGCGCAATTATTTCATTCCTCTCTTGTCTACTATATATAAAATAAACATTGTTGTTCTGGTATTTAGAATGTAAAAACTATCTGTTGATTATCATTGAACATGGATCAAATGTCAAATACCAATAAGAGATGTTCTAACTGAAAACATAAATGTTTCTATTTTCAGATTGAAATAATTATTTTAAATTTGTCTTTCCTTCATATGACAATTTAGATAAAAGAGGGACGAAAGATACCAGAGGGACAGTCAAACTCATAGATCGAAAACAAACTTACAACGTCATGGCCAAAAATAAAAAGACAAACAGACAAATAATAGTACAGATGACACAACATAGAAAACTAAAGACTAAGCAACACGAACCCCACCAAAAACTGGGGGTGATCTCAGGTGCTCCTGAAGGGTAAGCAGATCCTGCTCCACATGTGGAGATAACATGTGTTCAGGTTATATTGTCTATTGTTGAAGACCATTTTGACATGTTTCATTGATTGGTTACTGTCTCATTGACATATATTTCAATTTTTTTTTCATTTAGCACAAGTTCAATGCTGAAGTTCAACCAATCTATATTTGTAGGAATATAATTTTGTAATTATTCTTTGGGCTTTTTTGTGTCTTGTTTAATGTTGCAGTATTTTGAATGAAAAACTATATGTTGATTATCTTCCCTTTTAGAGTTGAGACACTCTTACATTTCAAACAAATTTCAGTAGTAAATGGTCCTACATATAGTTCACATATAATGTACACTTACCAATAATAGCAACTAGACTGGGCAATGTTCACACTGACTGGACAAGGTTTACATTGACTGGACAAATATCTAATTGACTGGACAAGGATCAAATACAAATAATAGATGTTCAATCTGGAAATATAAACAGATAAATGTTTCTATTTCAATTAGAAATAATAATAACACTTTATAATTGATTCATCGACTGATTGGTGTTTAATGCCACTTTCAACAAAATTGTGCTATTTCGTGGCAGTCAGTTTTTATTGGTGGAGGAAGATGGAGAGCCTGGAGAGAACCACCCACCTTCTGTAGGAAAACTGATAATCCTAGTCAATTAAGATTGGAGTCAAGTGCTCCTGCCCCGTGTGGGAATTGAACTCGCAACCTCAGTGTTGACAGGCTAGTGAAACAGTAGGTCGACTACTTAGACCACTCAGCCACCGAGGCCCGAAAATTTGATCAAGACCATGATTTTTTGTTGAATACCATTTTGACCTTTATCATTGATTGGTTGCTGTCTGTTTGACATAGAACTCCTAGTGTTCTGACTAAGAACTTTTGAAGGGGAGTCCAGGGAATCTATTGTTGAATACTATTTTGACCTCTATCATTGATTGGTTGCTGTCTGTTTGACATAGACCTCCTAGGGTTCTGACTAAGGACTTTTGAAGGGGAGTTCAGGGAATCTATTGTTGAATACCATTTTGACCTGTCTCATTGATTGGTTGCTGTCTGTTTTGCATAGACCTCCTAGGGTTCTGACTAAGGATTTTTGGAGGGGAGTCAAGGAAATTTATTGTTGAATACATTTTGACCTGTCTTATTGATTGGTTGCTGTCTGTTTTACAGACCAGGGTTCTGACAAAGGACTTTTGAAGGAGAGTCCAGGGAATCTATTGTTGAATACCATTTTGACCTGTCTCATTGATTGGTTGCTGTCTGTTTTACATAGACCTCCTAGGGTTCTGACTAAGGATTTTTGGAGGGGAGTCAAGGAAATTTATTGTTGAATACCATTTTGACCTGTCTTATTGATTGGTTGCTGTCTGTTTTACAGACCAGGGTTCTGACAAAGGACTTTTGAAGGAGAGTCCAGGGAATCTATTGTTGAATACCATTTTGACCTGTCTCATTGATTGGTTGCTGTCTGTTTTACAGACCAGGGTTGTGACAAAGGACTTTTGAAGGGGAGTCCAGGGAATCTATTGTTGAATACCATTTTGACCTCTATCATTGATTGATTACTGTCTGTTTGACACAGACCTAGGGTTCTGACAAAGGACTTTTAAAGGGGAGTTCAGGAAATCATCATTAATGACCATGGCGAGTTCCAACAGCGAGAAGAAATTTTATTGCTACATAATTATCGTTTTAGTCTTCATGATAAAAAAGAGCACGGAAATGACATCAAATTTAGATAATTTTTAGACATTCAAATTTGCTATAAAATGGTGATACATGTATTTTCGCTTAGTTGATCTACAAAATTTTACAATCCTTGAGCATCTTTAGGCTCGTCAGTTTTGAAAATGAGTCTAGATAGTTTTCATGACTTCATGACTCATTGACTGCCTTATTGAGAACCCTGTCTCCAATCTTTCATTCATACAGCTCATTTTTTAGTTAACAACTCTATTTTTATATGCAATTTATATTGTAATGATTGCAATGTTTATTAGTTTTTTTACTCTAACATGCAATTAATTTTGTAAATAGATCATGTTATTTTTTGTTGAACATTTGCTCAATGAAAAATGTGTATCCTGTTAAAAAGGAATTAAAAGCACTGGTGTAATGCAACCTACTAGAATGAACCATCTAGCTCTTGATTATCTCCCCTTTTATAATTTTAACAATTACATGTACATTGTAGTTCATTTAATAAACTGGGGTATTTACCACTCAACCTTGTTATACTGTGACATACCAGTATCCTTATAATACAAAAAAAAACTCAGCTATTTTCTTGAAAAGTGAATTTTCTTAATCTAATATTTATAATCAATTATTATAAATATTAATCAAAGCATTGTCGATGTTGTGATCCAGCCATATTGGATTTGAATACCAAAAATGCTAACCGGTTAACGAGACCTTTTTCAATTTTAAAAGATTAGATATATAAACTGTGTATTGCAGTCATTATATTCAAATTTTTAAATAATCATCTTGCTACTTAATTTGACAGATCATTGTCCAGTATATTGATTGCTTTTCAATTACCTTGAAAACATTCAAATTTTAAAAAATTAATTAGCACAAATACAACTTGTCTATCAGCTTGCGGCAAGATCTAAAGTAAACATAATTATCATATAGATATAAGAAGATGTGGTATGAGTGCCAATGAGACAACTCTCCATCCAAGTCAAAATTTATAAAAGTAAACCATTATAGGTCACAGTACGGTCTTCAACACGGAGCCTTGGCTCACACCGAACAGTAAGCTATAAAGGGCCCCAAAAAATTACTAGTGTAAAACCATTCAATTGGGAAAACCAACGGTCTAATCTATATCAAAAACGAGAAACACTTATGAACATGTATGTATTTTGAACAATTATAAGCTGATTAAATTTTACTGTTTACTTCATTATTTCATTTTTGATTTAATATTGCGTAAATATGCCAACTCCATCGTCCAAGGCTTTCTCATAATTTAGACGAAATCCCAACTCAAAAACCGGGAAATGCAAATTATGTGAATGGAATTAACATATATATGAGAGGTAGAGTAACATGCTTAATCATCTCAAATTAAAATACCCAACAGAATGTTCATACTTTGTCAATTCACATAGATCAAGAAGATTTCCATTTTCTCAATCTGAATCTATTACTGTAGATATAGTTGTATTGGATTATTAAAAATATCTTAAACAGGAATTCTAAAAGCCAAGCCTTATAATGGCTAAGAATAAACTTCAATTCATCGTACCATGAAGCCATGTATTTAACCCCGTCACATTCTATATGTGACTGTCCCAAGTCGTAGCCTGTAATTCAGTGGAAGTCTTGTGTAGCTGTATATCATATTTTTTTTTCGTACATAAGTCAGGCTGTTAGTCTTCTCGTTTGAATTACTTTACATTTTTCATTTCGAGGCCTTTTATAGTTGACTATGCGGTATGGATTTTGCTCATTGTCATAAGCCGTATGGTGAAATATAGTTTTGTTAACTTCTATGTCATTTGGTCTCTGGTGGAGTGTTGTCATTGGCAATCAAACCACATCTTAATATTATTTTTATATTTTAAGAGTACTGTAGACAAAATTTTATCAATCAACTTAACTACAGGCTACCCTGATAATCGGTCGAAAGATTATCCGACTAACCAGTTAGGCAAAACTGTTTACTTTGACAAAACTAATTTATATTTATATTTTAGATAGACTAGATTAGAGATAACTGTATTCTATTTGAAGCTGTGCAGACATCCATCAGTAGTTTTACTGTCGCAAATTGAGTTTCCCTGGAAACGCATAGTGGAGATAGTTGTCTCACTGGCAATCATACCACATCTCCTTATTTTTACTTTGGTGGATAGTTCTCATTGGCAATCATACTACATCTCCTTATTTTTACTTTGGCGGATAGTTCTCATTGTCAATCAAACCACATCTCCTTATTTTTACTTTGGCGGATAGTTCTCATTGGCAATCATACCACATCTTCTTATTTTTACTTTGTCGGATAGCTCTCATTGGCAATCATACCACATCTCCTTATTTTTACTTTGGAAGATAGTTGTCTCATTGGCAATTATACCACAGTACATCTACTTATTTTTACTTTGTCGGATAGTTCTCATTGGCAATCATACCACATCTCCTTATTTTTACTTTGGCGCATAGTTCTCATTGGCTATCATACCACATCTCCTTATTTTTACTTTGGCGGATAGTTGTCTCATTGGCCATCATACCACATCTCTTTATTTTTACTTCGGTAGATAGTTGTCTCATTGGCAATCATACCACATCTCTTTATTTTTACTTGGCGGATAGTTGTCTCATTGTCAATCATACCACATCTCTTTATTTTTACTTTGGCAGATAGTTCTCATTGGCAATCATATCACATCTCCTTATTTTTACTTTGGTGGATAGATCTCATTGGCAATCATACCACATCTCCATATTATTACTTTGCAAAATAGTTGTCTCATTGGCAATCATACCACATCTCCTTATTTTTACTTTGGCGGATAGTTGTCTCATTGGCAATCATACCACATCTCCTTATTTTTACTTTGGCCGATAGTTCTCATTGGCAATCATACCACATCTCCTTATTTTTACTTTGGAAGATAGTTGTCTCATTGGCAATTATACCACATCTACTTATTTTTACTTGGCGGATAGTTGTCTCATTGGCAATCATACCACATCTCCTTATTTTTACTCTGTCGAATAGTTCTCACTGGCAATCATACCACATCTCCTTATTTTTACTTTGGCGGATAGTTCTCATTGGCTATCATACCACATCTCCTTATTTTTACTTTGGCGGATAGTTGTCTCATTGGCAATCATACCACATCTCTTTATTTTTACTTTGGTAGATAGTTGTCTCATTGGCAATCATACCACATCTCTTTATTTTTACTTTGGCGGATAGTTGTCTCATTGGCAATCATACCACATCTCTTTATTTTAACTTTGGCAGATAGTTCTCATTGGCAATCATTTCACATCTCCTTATTTTTACTTTGTAGGATAGTTCTTACTGGCAATCATACCACATCTCCTTATTTTAACTTTAGCGGATAGTTGTCATTGACAATCATACCACATCTCCTTATTTTTACTTTGGAAGATAGTTGTCTCATTGGCAATTATACCACATCTCCTTATTTTTACTTGGCGGATAGTTGTCTCATTGGCAATCATACCACATCTCCTTATTTTTAATTGGTGGATAGTTCTCATTGGCAATCATACCACATCTCCTTATTTTTACTTTGGAAGATTGTTTTTTCATTGGCAATCATACCACATCTCCTTATTTTAACTCTCGTGGATAGTTCTCGTTGGCAATCATACCACATCTCCTTATTTTTACTTTGGCAGATAGTTCTTATTTAGTAGGGTGCCCAGTCAACGAATTTGATCGATTTGGGTTAACG